AAGCCTTTTTGGACCAACGAATTCCAAGTACTTTTTTTGGCCTTATGAAAATTCTTTTTTGTATAAGACTCTTCTTTGCATGTTTTAATTTTTTTCATTTTTCCCATATTTTTATTTTTATTTTCTTTCTTCATTTTCTTTTTGAACTTACCAAAAAGTTTTTCTAGAAAAGAAAAAGTGAAAAATGTTTAATTTGAGATAGATGAAGTATATGTTAAATTTTTTATTTTTATTTTAAAGACAAAGGAATTTGAATTTTAAAAAAAATATTAAAAATTTTAAGAAATCATCATAAACAGGAGTAAAACATAGAGAAAAATACTTAAATAATGATTCCATATTTTTTCCCCTAAATAGAAGTTTGCATTGTGATAATGTGGCATTGTACATGGACATTTCACTATACTTTTTGTACATGTACATTATCATGATTGATAATGTAAATGCATTTTAACTCGTATTTTGGGAATAAAAATATGAAACTTCTATTTTACTATATTTTCAATGTTTTTTACTCTCACTTTAGTATTTTTCTAAAAAATTTAAGAGAAATTTAAAAAAAAATTCTAGGAAAATGAAACAAAGATATAAAAAAATTTAAAAAAATGAAAAAAACCAAATAATAAACAAAAAAAGAAATTAGCACGTGTGTCCTCTATAATTTACAAAATAGGCACCACTGTCTTCTCTTTGCTGGAAAATAATCAAAAAATGATTAGAGGGAGCGTGAGTGAATAGAAAATATTCACATGAAAACTCATGAAAATATGAGAAGATTTACATTTTAAATGTGGACCTTGAGACCATGTAAGCATCACTCTTGATGCTAATTTTTCAAATCACAAGAGATAGTGAAGGTATTTGACCTTAAGGGTGTTTGGAAGTGATTAATTTGTGAATGAAGTGATTTTTACAAAAGATGAAAACAGAAACACCAATTACCCTCCTTGCTCTCCACATTTAAAGAATTTTACAGAGACGAACAATTTTGTCCTTTGGGTAATTTCACATCTTCATTTTACCATATCACTAGTATTAACCCCGTGCTTCGCATATTTTCTAAATTTTGACATCTAAAAAAAATATTGTTTATTTTAAATTCTCTTATGATATATGATGTGCTTGATAAATATTTTTTAGTATAAAATATCTCTTTTCGAGAGAAAAGTTTTAGTTTTAACATTGATGTATATGTTCTTAAATTTATATAAATTTTTATTTTGAGATATAATAAAAGAGAAAATGACGAATTTTTTATTAAGAACAACATCACAATTTCTTTTTTAAAAGAATAATAAAGGTTATAAATTTTTTTAGATATATAACTAATTATGTATGAATTATATTTTAAAAAATATGTTTTAAAATGGTGTAACACTTTAACTCTAAATGAATACAATCATTGAATGAAATATATTAAGATTTTTTATCTATATACTTCCTTCGTTTCAAAAAGATTATCAAAGTTGGACTTTTTTGGTCTATGTAACAATTTGATTACAAAATAAATACAATTTTAAATAATTAAATATCATAAAAACTTGATCTATGAAAACAATATTTTAAATGGAAATATTTTTTCAATTTACATTATAACTAAATATAATATACTTTTCGCACACTTTGTGGTCAAAGTATAGAGCAAATTGACCAAAAATATCAAATTGTTATCAAATGAAATAATAATGAAAATTGATTTAATTATTGAAAAATAAAATAAAAATGTCAAATAAAAAATTTAAGTAATGATAAATCATTGAAAAATATGTCCCCCCCTTATATTATAAGGCCCAACAACGTTTCCCTCCGTGAAGTTGGTCCTTTTTCCGTCACAGTTCCGTCAAATTGGCCAATTTCCCGTCACTTTACACCATTCCCATGTTCCGTCTTCCAAATTTCACAGACACCGCCACACGATCTTTTCCGCCTTCTGTTCTCCGACTCTACCATTTGTTCTCACCTTCTCGCAATTTCTACACCGCCACCGTCCCACGACCTCTTCCACCGCCACACGACACCGTCTTCCTCATCTATTAATAAGGAGTGAACAAATTCTTGGACTATTTTTCCTGCAAGAAATCTTTTCCACTTTATCCAGGTAATTCTTCCCTCTTCTTCTCCCTTTGCGTGTCTCTTCTGTGTCTCCTTCCTTGTAATTCTTACCAATTCTGTGTCTCCTTCCTTGTCTTTTTTATCTTAACCCAATTACCCAAATTCTTATCAATTCAGGCGCACATGAAATTCTTATCAACAAAAGACTAAAGTTATGTTCTTTCTTATTTTCCCAACAAGAAGAATAGAACAAAAAGATGATTCTTATGAATTTCATGATTCATTTAACTCAAGGTCTCGTTCGTTGATTCTAATGTTATGTTCAGTAGGTGCTCAATTAATGCCCCTGAATTTCTTCAATTTGAATCGGATACAAATTTTAAAAGTGCATGTTCCACACAATTTTAAATTCAGTTCATGAATCCACCCAAAACCCTAAAGTTTGAATTAAAAGTTCACAACACAAATCACATATTTAGGTTTAAAAATTAAATACGAAATAGAGTTTAAGATTAGAAAACTAATTGTGTAGAAGATTACCTCATTGTTAGAGAAATTTTATTTTCAATTCTGTGCTTCTTGTTGGGAAAATAAGAAATATGGTTCTACCTCTCCACACTTAAAAATAAAATTGTAGTTTTTAAAGATTAACTCTCTTTTAGCATACATGAGAACCCATGTTCTGTGTCTTTAGACTTATTTAATTTACTCTTTTAAAACATGTGCTTAGTGTCTGTTTGAATCAATGATTATACTTCCTTGAGTTTCTGAAATAAAATTGTAGCACCTTTAAGAGCAATTTTCTAAACAAACGAGTACTTTGTTCCGCTTCTAGTTACAAGTACTAATTTTGAAGTTCCCTCATGACAATATAATACCATTCTCTGTTAGAATAAATGACCAACGCTAGAGGGGGGGTGAATAGCGTTTGATCGTAGAAATCGCAGGAATAAAAAATTAAGAGCGTGAAAGATAAAGAGCGTAGAAAGTATAAAGGGAGCACACCAAGATTTACCCTGGTTCACCACAACATGTGGCTAATCCAGCCTCCCGAGAGGCTCTCTCGAGCTACACTACTTCCGTTAAGCTTACGGGTGCTTAACAAACCGTTACAACCTGAGAACTCGAGTCCCACGAGCCTCAATATACTTGCTCGGAGATACCGCACTCCAAGACTTCAACCCGAAGGAAAAATACCTTTCCTTCGTACAACCAAGGGAAACAAACTTCCCTTAATGTCTATGAACACTAGGAACGGTCAAGAACAAGGCTCTCTCAAAAGAGTGAATATGAGTAAAGTAATACGCTCAATATCATAACACGAACTTCACAAAAATGGCTCTCGAAAAGCTATGAATAATGTATGAATAATATGCAATGAAAGAATAGGAGTTGTGAAGTAATGTGTTATGTAAAAACAGACCCAAAACACCCCATTTTATAGTGGAAAAATAGGCTCCAACGGACCAAAGTATTTAAGGGGTGATTGGCATAATTTGTGGGATTTGATTAAAATTGGATCTGCTGAAATTCACCGAGACAGCGCTGTCCTAGGCTTGGACATCGCTGTTCTAGGCTTGCGTTTTGAAAATTGGGAAGCAACGGTCATGCCAACAGCGATGTCCAATACCCCTACATCGCTGTTTTGGCTGTTGACTTCCAAACAAGGAAAGTTTTAGCCTTAAATTCCGTCCAACGGTCAGGTCTCTACATCGATGTTCTATACTAGAACATCGCTGTTTCGGTCTGCCTTTGGAGATGGAAGTTTGGCCTGACAGCGCTGTTGCTGGGTCAACATCGCTGTCCCGAAACTTTCTGCCAATGCACTATATTTTTGGCTTAGGTTGGACAGCGCTGTAGGGAAGCCTACATCGCTATTCCAGAAGTTTCTAGAAATCCAACCTTGGCTCAACAACGATGTCTAGTGTGCAACATCGCTGTTGGAAGACTTAACGCCAAACTATGGTTTTCAGCTACTCAAGCCAGACAGCGCTGTTGGTTGCACCAACATCGCTGTTGGGCTGGTTTAGCCAGACCCATGGTTGGTTTAGTCATGCCGTTAGCCGATGTCAAAAACGTAAGTTCTCCAAAATAAAAACCAAGTATTGAAAACATTTGTTTATTGCATTTTGCTAAGAAATCAAGTAAAGCAACTCAAAAACCACGTCATTTAATTGAAAACCACGGCTAACCAAGTTCGTGTCGTTTCGCATGGTTTTCACTAAACGACCAAAAATGGATGGTGGTTTTTGAAGCGTTTTTGTTGGAGAACTGTTCAAATATGCCCAGAAGTAAAAACCAATCATAAAAAGTTGAAAACCACTTGGTTGGTTCGGATGCCAAAAACCAATGCCGAAAACCGAAAGCTGAACGCCGGTTTCTGAAAGCCGAACGCCGGATGGCTTGGTTTTTGGTTTGGGCAAACTCCAAGTGTTTTTAGGCAAGTTTAAAACTTAGGAAGAACATTTTTGAATATGCAAAAAGTATTTTGATGATATGATCCTAGAGAGCCAAGTTTTGAAAGTTTGTGCCGGTCTTGATCACATTAAGACTGACTCAACACAATGCTAAGTCTTTGTTCTTGATTCTTGGTTCTTGGTTCTCAGTTGATCATGCCATGTTCCTTCGCCTTGGTTATGCTCAGTTTAATCTTGTTGTTGTCAACGGCGGTTTGGCATTATCAAAACCTGTCATAACACGAACACGGTTTAGTACGACATAGGCGTAAACCCGTGTTCCAACAATTTCCCCCTTTTTGATAATGGCAAACAAGACAATGATATGCATACTAGGGAATATTTGACTTTGAAAAGAGTGAAAAAGTTCCCCTTAATTTGTGCTTAAAAAAAATTGTCATATTAAAATCAAACGATCCCGTTTTTTGGGACGTTCCCCCTTAGTGTATGCATAACCCTTTTCTTCCCCCTTTTGACATTAACAAAAAGATAAAAGATAACTTTTATTTATTGAAGATGGGAAATAGCGGAGTACAATGGAAGCATTAAGAAACATGATAATTAAAATAAAAGAGATAGAAATTCTAGGGGCGTCCTAGTCTTCGTCTTCGGTTTCCTCCTCGTCGTCGTCGACATCCATCTCATCACCGTCAACGGCGTCGTCGAACTCGTCCTCGTCCGGGGAGCTTGACGGGTCGTAGGAGGCATCGTCTTCGTCCTCGTCACCGTACACTTGCCTAAAGAACGTGCCATGGTACGGTGGGGGGACGTAGTTAACGCGTTGGAAGTACGCGTTCATGGCGTACCCTTGGCGTTGGACCGCCTCGTCAAGCCTCTCAAGGTAGCCATCCATCCCATCAACTTTGAAGTGCAGCCGGTTGAGGGAGTCAGCGATGGAGACGAGGTTGGCCCGGGCCTGGGGTTTGGCTGGGCCAGCAGCCGAACGACGCCGTGGCACGGTAGTGGCAGTGGCAGGTCCGGCATTGTCCAACCGCTTCTTGAAGGTCTGGGTGCTGATCGCCCAAATCTTCGTGGCCTTCGTGAGTGGGCCAACGGTGGTGGTCACCTTGAACTGTTCAAGGATGTCCATCACCACAAACGGGTACGGGAGGAGGTGATCGTGGTCGGTGGACGCGGCAATCGTCATGTTGATCATGACAAACTTTGCCCAATTGATTGGGGCCGAGTGCATGATCGCATGGATGAGTTTGAGGTCCTCACCTGACATGATTGTGTGGCCATGCTTCCGGGGCTTGATGATTCGGGACACGATGTAGACAAGAAGCCGGCTCTCGGGGTTTGCGGAGTGGATGGTGGGGCGGCCCGAGGCATGGCGGATAAGCTCGGTGATGCCAAGCTCACTGAGGATAAGGCCCTCGTTGTTGAGCACCCAGTCCTCTCCGCCATATTGGGAGACGTCGTCGCCTTGGTAGGGGAGGCCGGCGATGCGCCCAAGCTTCTCAACGGAAAGCTCTATCGGTGTGCTCTTAACAAGAGAGTAGAGCACGTCGCCCTCACGCCGGAGGTTGGAGTAGAAGACCCGAATTAGCGCCGGGTTGATCTCCTTCCGAGGTCAGGAGACGAATGGCCAAAGGCCGGTTTGATGAAGCTGCGCGTCGAGGTCGTCGTAGCCCTGCATCTCCGAGAAGCGCTCCGGGACGATCCGTGGGGGAGCTACAACCCCTTTAGAGAAGAACGTGAGAAAGCGGGTGCGCTCCTCCTCAGAATCGAACTAGAGGTACGACCCATCGTCGTAGTAGAGGCGTTCCTCGGAGGATGTCGTAGGCGCCCGGGATTTGGACTTTGATTTCCCGAAGGTGGCAGCCCTGCTCTTGTCCTTGCCCATGGTGATGAAGAAATCTCAAGAAAAAAATGGTAGAGAAGATAAAATATGCAAGGAGATTGAAGAAGATTGAGTTTAGATGTGAGAAGAGGGTGAGTAGGAGGCCAAATATATATAGGATTAGGTTTCCAACGTTCAGAAATTCAAAAATCTGGCAGTTGGAGCATTTAATTCAGTGCCCAACGGGTATATTTTTAAAAAAATCTGTTTGAACAGCGATGTTCCAAAGGCAACATCGCTGTTGGGACAGCGCTGTTGGGCCTATGTACAGCGGTGTTCTGCGTCAAGTTTTAAAAACAGGTGTCAAATGACAGCGATGTTGGGTTCCCTACAGCGATGTTCCAAATCATTCTGGAATTGTGTAAGGGTTTGAACCCATTAGAACAGCGCTGTTGGGTATCTCTACATCGCTGTTTTACGACAGAGAGAAAAAATCTGTACAAATGAACAGCGATGTTGCAATGGTGGATTTCGCTGTTGAGAAACTTTCTGGTTTTGCTTGAAAACATGGTGTTTAGGGAGACAACGATGTTTAGATATGCTACATCGATGTTTATAAAGTTTAAAGAATAGGAAGACTCCCTGTGACAGCGCTGTTGGTGTATGGTACAGCGCTGTTGTCCCAAGTTGGTTGACAATGTTTTCTTCAACAGCGATGTTGGTCTCTTGGACAGCGCTGTAGGAACAGCGATGTTGTCCTTCTCACATCGCTGTTTGCATGGTTCCCCCTGATTTTGTGAACGAGGTACCTTGGCCAACCCGTCGTCTCGTGGTTGGCGGGTTCAGTCTACCTGAACGGAATGCCGATATCTCGGTGTGATTTGTGTCGGTTCCAGTAACGGAATGTGGACTTTCTTCTTTTCGTCAAAGTAGAAGAAATAGTAAGGTTTCTTTTGTGCATTAGCCTGTGGAGATGGTTTATGATACGAATATCCTTTTCTAAAGGATTTCTTCTCGTTAGCACCAAATATGTTGTGTGTTTCATTATAGGTGAGATGCATATGTTTAGTAAAACACACGGGAGCAATATGTCCTACCCTATTGCAATAATGGCATACTACGTTTGGGTTGAACATATGCCTAGGTTGATAATAGCTAGGGGGTCGTCTAACCATATTCATCCTATTTTGAGAAAAGGATGTTTTATGCATGTTTTTAAAAGAATCATTTTTAGGTGTCCTTATGTTATTTCTCCTATTTTGAGAAAAATTATTATTATGCACAAGATCATTTTTCTTAGGTTGTCTACCATGAACATTTTCATTCCTAGGTTTTAGTCTAGGTTGTCTAGTGTCTTTAGGTTGACTAGGTTTTCTATTATCCTGATTTTTAGGTTTCTTACGTTGAGCCTTAGGTGGTTGTCTAGATGGTGGCTTAACGTTTTCTTTAACCTTAACTTCATTTTTATTGAAACCTATTCCTTCCTTAGAGAAATGCATAGTGTAAAGGAGCAAATTTAAATCTTTGTGCGGAGTATTAAATTTCTTGACCATACTCTCAAGTTTTGTGACTTGTTCCCTTAAAGCTTTACAAGATTCACATTCGTTTGAGGAACTTTCTGGTTTTTCGGCGCTTCTTTTGCCTTAAAATTTATTTTCTTGTTTTAACTTCTCATTATCTTTTTCCAGATTTTCAAAATCATTTTCAAGAGTGAAGAGGCGTTTCTTTAACGATTTGTTGATTTTAGAAGCGCTAACAAATTCATCATAAAGTTCATGAAGCGCTTCTTGCATTTCATCAAAAGTGTAAAAGTCGGAAGAAATGGTACATACCTCTTGTTCATTGTCGGTTTGGTCTTCGTGTGCCATGAGACAGAGGTTGGCAGTTTCATCCTCGTCTTGGTCGGTTGACTCGTCGCTGGAGTCGCCACCCCAAGAGATGTATGCTCTGTGCTTTTTGAAACGGCGAGTGTTCCTTCCGTTTCTCGGGCATTTGTTCTTGATGTGCCCGGCTTCACCACATCCATAGCACACACGGCCATCCTCAACCTTTTCTTTATTTCTTAGAAGTTTGCAAAACTTCTTCATGACAAGCTTGACTTCATCATCATCGCTTGAGTCATTCATTGTCGGTTCTTTGGAAGCTTTTAATGCTATGCCTTTTCTCTGGTCATTCAAAGACGGGTTAAGTATAGTAGATTCATACGTTTTTAAGTTACCTCTTAAACCGTCGATGGTGACATTTGATGTGCCGATTGATTCATAGATGGCATCGGCCTTAGATCGCCATTTGGATGTCAAGCTCCGTAGGATCTTTCGCACAAGATCCCTGTCGGTGTAGGTCTTCTTCAAAGTATGAAGATTGTTGACTATCTTGGAGAATCGGTCGAACATGTCGTCGATGTTTTCGTGCTCCTTCATTCTAAACATCTCATACTCTTGGGTGAGGAAGTCGATCTTGGCTTCACGTACTTGGTCCGTTCCTTCGCACGTCACATCAAGTTTATCCCACATCTCCTTGGCGGTTGAGCAGCAAGAAATTTTGCGGTAGTCATCAGGATTTACGGCACAATAAAGCATGTTTATTGCCTTTGCATAATTCTCGACCTTTTTGATGTCCTCGGCATCAAATTTGTCCTCGACTTTCTTCATTGACACCTCTTCCCTGTTTTTGATAAGCAACCATAATTGGAAGTTCGTGGAACGAATATAGATTCTCATTCGTTCTTTCCAATATGTATAATTGGTTCCATAAAAAAGAGGTGGCCGTGTGGTTGATTGCCCTTCACCTATTCCTGCATACAAATTTCTAGAAGAAGAACCCATGATCGCTTTTACTCTCAAACAGTTAAGTTTGGACGCGAGTTAGGCTCTGATACCAATTGTTAGAATAAATGACCAACGCTAGAGGGGGGGTGAATAGCGTTTGATCGTAGAAATCGCAGGAATAAAAAATTAAGAGCGTGAAAGATAAAGAGCGTAAAAAGCGTAAAGGGAGCACACCAAGATTTACCCTGGTTCACCACAACATGTGGCTAATCCAGCCTCCCGAGAGGCTCTCTCGAGCTACACTACTTCCGTTAAGCTTACGGGTGCTTAACAAACCGTTACAACCTGAGAACTCGAGTCCCACGAGCCTCAATACACTTGCTCGGAGATACCGCACTCCAAGACTTCAACCCGAAGGAGAAATACCTTTCCTTCGTACAACCAAGGGAAACAAACTTCCCTTAATGTCTATGAACACTAAGAACACTCAAGAACAAGGCTCTCTCAAAAGAGTGAATATGAGTAAAGTAATACGCTCAATATGATAACACGAACTTCACAAAAATGGCTCTCGAAAATCTATGAATAATGTATGAATAATATGCAATGAAAGAATAGGAGTTGTGAAGTAATGTGTTATGTAAAAACAGACCCAAAACACCCCATTTTATAGTGGAAAAATAGGCTCCAACGGACCAAAACATTTAAGGGGTGATTTGCACAATTTGTGGGATTTGATTAAATTTGGATCTGCCGAAATTCACCTAGACAGCGCTGTCCTAGGCTTGGACATCGCTGTTCTAGGCTTGCGTTTTGAATATTGGGAAGCAACGGTCATGCCAACAGCGATGTCCAATACTCCTACATCGCTGTTTTGGCTGTTGACTTCCAAACAAGGAAAGTTTTAGCCTTAAATTCCTTCCAACGGTCAGGTCCTTACATCGATGTTCAATACTAGAACATCGCTGTTTAGGTCTGACTTTGAAGATGGAAGTTTGGCCTGACAGCGCTGTTGCTGGGTCAACATCGCTGTCCCGAAACTTTCTGCCAATGCACTATATTTTTGGCTTAGGTTGGACAGCACTGTAGGGAAGCCTACATCGCTGTTCCAGAAGTTTCTGGAAATCCAACCTTGGCTCAACAGCGATGTCTAGTGTGCAACATCACTGTTGGAAGACTTAACGCCAAACTATGGTTTTCAGCTACTCAAGCCAGACAGCGCTGTTGGTTGCACCAACATCGCTGTTGGGCTGGTTTAGCCAGACCCATGGTTGGTTTAGTCATGCCGTTAGCCGATGTCAAAAACGTAAGTTCTCCAAAATAAAAACCAAGTGTTGAAAACATTTGTTTATTGCATTTTGCTAAGAAATCAAGTAAAGCAACTCAAAAACCACATAATTTAGTTGAAAACCACGGCTAACCAAGTTCGTGTCGTTTCGCATGGTTTTCACTAAACGACCAAACACGGAAGGTGGTTTTTGAAGCGTTTTTGTTGGAGAACTGTCTAAATATGCCCAGAAGTAAAAACCAATCATAAAAAGTTGAAAACCACTTGGTTGGTTCGGATGCCAAAAACGAATGCCGAAAACCGAAAGCTGAACGCCGGTTTCTGAAAGCCGAACGCTGGATGGCTTGGTTTTTGGTTTGGGCGAACTCCAAGTGTTTTTAGGCAAGTTTAAAACTTAATAAGAACATTTTTGAATATGCAAAAAGTGTTTTGATGATATGAACCTAGAGAGCCAAGTTTTGAAAGTTTGTGCCGGTCTTGATCACATTAAGACTGACTCAATATAATGCTAAGTCTTTGTTCTTGATTCTTGGTTCTTGGTTCTCAGTTGATCATGCCATGTTCCTTCGCCTTAGTTATGCTCAGTTTAATCTTGTTGTTGTCAACGGCGGTTTGGCATTATCAAAACCTGTCATAACACGAACACGGTTTAGTACGACATAGGCGTAAACCCGTGTTCCAACATTCTCAAGTAACAAATTGGATAGAGGGCTCTTTTCTAAAGAAACAAGTACTATGTTCTATTTCCGATGCATAATTTTAGGTGTTTTCATTTCACCATGTATTTAATATGAGGAATATAGGCTATTGCGTATTCAGCTCTTATGCAAGCATATTTGTTCTAATTCAGTTATTAATTTGTATGACCATCGGAAGTTATTAATTTGTATGACCATCGGTGAATTTCTTCTTCTCCATTCAATGGTTTGGAGAATTAGGTTTGCTTTAAATGGTTAAAATTAAGTTGGAATAGTACCACCTGAAATGATATTACCCCCTCCGGTTGGATTTTACTCCCTTTTTATTATATATTAACCATTTAAGTTTTAAAAATTCAGTTTGTAATCCGTTAAATTCCATCACTAGATCTGATCGATTCCAGCCCGGTTGGCCATCTGATTTGTTTATTATTTGACATTGTTACTTACTTCAATTAGTTGACATTGGTACATCTTATACGTGTTAAACCCTTTCAATTTCTATGTATCCCACGTGCTCAAATCCTTTTTGGATTAATTGTGAAAACACTCTATGATTGCTAGGTAAACTATCTGCCAATATTTGCCCCATATGAAGCCAGCATTTCCCATACGCAATCCATTATCGGGATTGTTTGCTAATTGTTATGCTCAATCATTTTTCCAGGTTTTAAAAAAGCAGCATAGATGACGCTTACATTGTTTCCGTAGCTCTGGTACACATCAATCCCTTTGATCTGATTTCATTTGTATTCACTTTCAATGTTTCCATGTTCAATACTGCCCCATTTAGTGTAGTTAATGCATTACTTTCTATGTGTTCTACTTTTCTTGAGTCTTAGATCAGGATTATTCTTTGTATATTATCTTCTTTCCACCCCATCTACAGACATTTTAAAACTGCAACACAACAGCAAATCTGGTACTTAGATTATTTACCTACTCTTATTTAGTTTCGATGGAAATTGGTTCTACCTCTACCCATACAAGAACTAATGATTCTTGCCGTGAACAAAGAAACTTCAGGCGTCGACTTAGGTATTGTGAAGCACGTCAAAAAACAAAGAGGCAGATTGTAGGCCCACCTACACATGCTGATTTTACTCCCACGTCTTTAACTACTGAAGGTCCCTCATTTATGTACTTGTTCATTCATAAATCAATACTACCTTCTTTTCAACTATTAAGTTCTCTGGCTAACCGCTTCTTCTTTTTCCAACTACTCACCCAAAATAACAATATGCAATGATTCATAATCTTACATATTCCCAACTTATCTAACCTCTCCAAAACTTCATTTTCCATTCATATTCATAGAATCTATTCAATCGCTTCCAAAGTATGTGCATCAGGATTCACCTTTTTGTTTAAAAGGAGTGACAGATTGTATATTTTGCGGTGCAAAACGTCTTCAGTTTGAACCTTTGGGCTTTTGTTGTTGCCGAGGTGAGGTAGTTCTTGTTTCCACGCAGATGCCAACTCCTCTTAGAGACTTATTCATTGGGAGAGACATTAAGGCCACACAATTTCAATCTGTAGTGCGCACATACAACAACACATTCGCCTTCACTTCGATTGGTATTTCTAATTATGACAAAGATTTATGCAAAAGGAATAAAGGCATCTATACCTTTATGGTGCAGGGACAAATATGTCATTTTGTGAATGACTTACTTTCGGATGGATTGCCTCCGAAGAATCTGCGGTTATACTTCTTTGACACAGATCAACAAATTGAGGATCGAATGCGAACTTCTGATAGATTGGACAAGAACATAGTATCAACCCTTGTTCTGGTCATCTCAGATAATTCATATTCTCGTTTCTTCAAAAGTCTAAAAGATGTATGTCATGATGCAGAATTTAGCATAAGGTTGAATGATAATCCAAACCTTGACCAACGAATTTACAACACTCCTACGGCTTCGCAAATTGCTGGAATATAGGTTGAGGATAGCAACAATGATACCCAAGGAAACAAACACATTCAAAACATACAATACTTTTATGGTTGCTACGATCCTTTGCAGTATCCCTGTAACACCCCGGCCCCCACCCTGGCCGTAAGTGTTTGCTCAAAGGATTATAGACTGGCCCCACAAACCAACACAAGTCTTTTCCCGCGCACTTTGTGCTCACTCATGCGCGCCCAAGGAAACTTCCCAGGGGGTCACCCATCCTAGAATTGCTCCAGGTCAAGCACGCTTAACTTTGAAGTTTCTAGGTGATGAGCTCTCGAAAAGAAGATGCACCTTGTTGGTATGAGTAGTACTATCAATCCTTTTGAGCTCTTCCCTTTTCCATCTTGATACGGGGTATTACATTCACCCCCACTTAGGATTGCAACGTCCTCGTTGCATCCTTTTTTTTTGAACCCCATAGATCTTCCCCGCTAGGTGAACTAAACTCTTTTGGCCCGTCACGGTCGCAGGGTTGCTCTGATACCATTTGTAACACCCCGGCCCCCACCCCGGCCGTAAATGTTTGCTTAAAGGATTATAGACTGGCCCCACAAACCAACACAAGTCTTTTCCCGCGCACTTTGTCCTCACTCATGCGCGCCCAAGGAAACTTCCCAGGGGGTCACCCATCCTAGAATTGCTCCAGGTCAAGCACGCTTAACTTTGAAGTTTCTAGGTGATGAGCTCTCGAAAAGAAGATGCACCTTGTTGGTATGAGTAGTACTATCAATCCTTTTGAGCTCTTCCCTTTTCCATCTTGATACGGGGTATTACAATCCCCTTTTATTTCCTCATGGCGAACCAGGCTGGCATACGGGCATTGATAGGATACTGTCAGAGGCACAACGCCGAATAGTTGAAAGTACACAACTACGATCCCTCACACTAAATCAGAATACCGTACAAACTACTGAGGAAGTAATTGAAATTGATGAACATAACTTACAGCGAGGACGTAAGAGAAAAACAGTTTCGTGTCGGGAATACTACGTGTACAAATTTCAAGTACGTCAAGATGATAATAGTTTCTTGCTTCACACTGGAAGACTATTTCAACAATTCATCGTTGATGTTTATGTTAAAATTGAGACACAACGATTGGATTACTATAGAATGAAACAACTTTACTTGAGATCAGAAACCTATCAAGGTGTAATGGATAGCATGTCTTTAGGTATGGTTTACGGGAACGATATTGGCCAGCGCGTCATTTTACCCGCTTCCTTTATAGGCAGACCACGAGATATGCGTAAATAGTATCTAGATGCTATGGCTATTGTTCAACACTACGGAAAACCTGATCTCTTTGTGACGATGACTTTCAATCCAAATTGGCCAGAAATAAAAGAGCTCTTGCAACACAGAGATAAGGCGCAGAACAGACCAGACCTTGTGTGTAGGGCATTTCATGCTCGACTACAAGAATTTAAAAATGATATATTTAAGAAAAAATTCTTTGGAGAGGTCGCTGCGTACATATATGTTATTGAATTCCAAAAATGTGGCCTTCCACATGCACATTTTCTTATCATATTAAAGCCCTCTTCAAAAATTCAAACATCTGTTTCATGTGATAAGTTTGTTTGTGCAGAGACACCTGACATCATACACCACCTTCGACTCTACGCACTTGTAAAGAAACACATGATACATGGCCCCTGTGGTGTACTTAACAGAGATTGTCCTTGCATGGCCAAAAAAAGGGCCACATAACTCCTTCTTGTAGAAGCAAATATCCCCGCCCTTTATGTGAACAAACTACATTTGGGGAGGATTCATTTCCTATATATCGTAGAAGGAAAAGTGCCAGTGTTGTGGGAGTAAGAGGTATCGAACTTGACAACTCTTGGGTAGTACCATTCAATCCACAACTTTTATTAAAGTTTGACTGCCATATTAATGTGGAGATTTGTGCTTCAGTGAAATCTGTAAAGTATATATACAAATATGTTTATAAAGGACATGATAGAATTAGTATCGGGATTTCAATCGATGAGAACTCTTCCCAACCTGATGAGATAAAAGAATTTCAAAATGCAAGATGGGTTTCTGCGCCAGAAGCATCATGGAGGATATTTTCATTTCCTATTGTAGAAATGCATCCATCGGTTATTCAGTTGCAGGTACATCTAGAAAACTTTCAGTACATCAACTTTTTTGGAAACCAAAGAATTACAAGAATAGTCAAAGATGATGATAGGTGCAGAACAATGTTGACAAAATTCTTTGAAATGAATGCACATGATATCGTAGCAAAAAGACTTCAACTCTTTTACATACAATTTCCGGAGTACTTTGTTTGGTCAGACACGAACAAATTGTGGACACAACGCAAACGCAAGAACGTTATAGGACGACTTGTTAGTGTGAATCCAATCGAAGGAGAAAGATATTATCTCCGTCTCTTACTCCTACATATCAAAGCACCAACTTCATTTGAAAAACTAAAAGTTGTCGATGGCCATCTGACACCAACATTTCGAGAAGCTGCACAGAAAATGGGCCTTTTAATAGGAAATACTTCACTTGAGGTTAGCCTAGACGAGGCTGTCATGTATCAAATGCCTAATAGCTTGCGGAGATTGTTTGCCACACTCTTGGTATTTTGTGATGTTCCAAATCCAAAAGAATTATGGACTGAATATAAAGGAAACCTATGTGAAGACCTTTCTCAGACAGCCCTATATACTCCAATAGAAATGGAAACAATTGCACTAAAACTTATTGGATTTCAAAAACCACCCTTCATTTTTGGTCGTTTAGTAAAAACCATGCGAAACGCCGTGAACTTGGTCAGCCCTGGTTTTTATCTAAATGACAGGGTTTTCAAGATGTTTTACTTGTTTTCTTAGTAAAATGCATTAAACAAAGGTTTTCAATACTTGGTTTTTACTTTGGAGAACTTAGATTTTTGACATCGGCTAACGGCATGACTAAACCAACCATGGGTCTGGCTAAACCAGCGCAACAGCGGTGTTGGAGTGACCAACAGCACTGTCTAGCATGGGCAGCTGAAAACCATGGTTTGGCGTTAAGTCTTCCAACAGCGATGTTGGATGTTAGACATCGCTGTTGAGACAAGGTTGGATTTCCAGAAACATCTGGAACAGCGATGTAGACTTCCCTACATCGCTGTCCAACCTAAGCCAAAAATAAATGCCTTGGCAGAAAGTTTTTGGACAGCGCTGTTGACCCAGCAACAGCGATGTCAGGCCAATTCGTCAACCTTCAAAGTCAGGCCTGAATAGCGATGTTCAAGTAATGAACATCGATGTAGGCACCTGACCGTTGGAAGGAATTTATGGCCAAACCTTTCCTTGTTTGGAAGTCAACAGCCAAAACAGCGATGTAGGGGTTTCAGACATCGATGTTGGCTTGGCCGTTGCTTCCCAATTTTCAAATACTAAGCCTAGAACAGTGATGTCGAAGTCATGGACAGCGTTGCTTGGAAGATTTTTAGCAGATCCAATTATAATCAAATCCCACAAATCAAGCCAATCACCCCTTAAATGCTTTGATCCATTGGAGCCTATTTTGGCACTATAAAATGGGGTGTTTGGGTCTGTTTTACACATCACATTACTTCACAACTCCTATTCTTTCATTGCATAACATTCATACATTATTCATAGCTTTTCGAGAGCCATTTTTGTGAAGTTCGTGTTGTGTTCTTGAGCGTTCTTACTTTACTCATATTCACTCTTTTGAGAGAGCCTTGTAAGCACCCGTAAGCTTAACGGAAGTAGTGTAGCTCTAGAGAGTCTCTCGGGAGACTGGATTAGCCACACGTTGTGGTGAACCAGTATAAATCTTGGTGTGCTCCCTTTACTTTTTCTACGCTCTTTACTTTTCACGTTCTTATTTTTTTTATTCCTGCGACTTCTACGATCAAACGCTATTCACCCCCCTCTAGCGTTAGTCACTTATTCTAACAATTGGTATCAGAGCGATGGGGGAGAGTTTGAACAAAATCTATTTTCGGATTTCTGTGACGAACTTGGCATTGATCATAATTTCTTAGCTCCACGTACAGCACAACAAAATGGAGTGGTGGAACGCAAAAATAGATGTCTCGAAGAGATGGCTATAACTATGATCAATGAGGCAAAAATCCCTAGGTATTTTTGGGCGGATGCCGTGAGTACCGCGAGCTATGTGTTAAACCGAGACGTCATTCGACCGATACTCATGAAAACGCCTTATGAATTATACAAAGGGAGAAAGCCAAACCTTTCCCATCTTCGAGTCTTTGGTTGCAAATGTTTTGTTCACAATAACGATAAAGATAACTTGGGAAAATTTGATGCCAATTCGGACGAATAGATTTTTCGTGGTTACTCACCACGTAGCAAGGCCTATAGAGTGGTTAATAAACGTACTTTGACTATTGAGGAGTCCCCTCATGTCGTGTTTTCCAAAGATAATACTCGCTTGGCGAGAAAGGCCATTTGTGATGATCTTGTAGATTCACTCGAAAGAATACACGTTGAAGACGATGAAGAAGACACGCCAATATACACCAACCCGCAACCACAAATTGAGGAAACGCCTCAAGTAATGGTTGACAATGAAGAAGATCAAGCGGACGAAGAAGAACACGAGGAAGGCCAGGAACAAGAGGAAACCGATCTTCCCGTTGCTTGGAGAACGAACAAGAACCATCCACTTGACCAGGTAATCGGCAGCATCAACCGCGGGGTAAGTACTCATAACTCACTTAGGGACACCGTAGGACACATGGCTTTTGTTTCTCAAATTGAACCTACAACCATTTCCGAAGCAATAAACGATGAACATTGGACCTTGGCTATGCAAGAGGAGCTAAACCAATTTAAACGGAATGACGTTTGGGAATTGGTGACAAGGCTCGATGATCGTACGATTATTGGTACGAAATGGGTGTTCCATAATAAACTCGATGAAAATGGAATAATCACTAGAAACAAAGCTAGGCTCGTAGCTAAAGACTACAATCAAGAAGATGGCATTGATTTTGAAGAAACCTATGCACGCGTAGCACGTTTGGAAGCTATTCGTTTACTTCTTGCTTTTGCTTCGTCTATAGATTTTAAACTTTATCAAATGGATGTTAAGAGTGCCTTCCTCAATGGTTTTATTCAAGAGGAAGTGTACGTTGACCAACCCTCGGGGTTTGAAGACTTTGAGTATCCCGACCATGTCTTCAAACTCAAGAAAGCACTCTACGGTCTAAAACAAGCACCCCGTGCTTGGTACGAACGTTTGAGTAAATTTCTTTTGGATAGTGGTTTCCAAAGGGGAAAGGTTGACACTACACTTTTTATCAAGAGTAAAAACAATAACATCCTTTTGGTTCAAGTTTATGTAGACGATATTATATTCGGTGCTACTAACGAGTCTTTGTGCAAGGAATTCTCCAACCTAATGACTAGCGAATTCGAGATGTCAATGATGGGTGAGATCACATTCTTTTTGGGACTCCAAGTCAAGCAAATGAAAGATGGCACGTTCATTTGCCAAGCTAAATATTGCAAGGAGCTCCTAAAACGGTTCGAAATGGACAACGCCAAAGCCATGACAACCACGATGAGCACGTCTGATCATCTTGACAAAGACGAGAAAGGTAAGGAAGTAGAAGTGAAAAGGTATCGAGACATGATCGGATCCCTTCTCTATCTTACCGCTAGTAGGCCGGATATCATGTTTAGCGTATGCCTTTGCGCAAGGTAACAATCATGTCCAAATGAATCACACTTAACGGCGGTGAAACGGATCACGAAATACCTTGTTGGCATGGTTAACGTTGGACTGTGGTATCCAAAAGGCTCTTCTTGTCATCTCGTTGGTTATTCCGACTCGGACTTTGCCGGTTGCAAGTTGGACCGTAAAAGTACGAGTGGGACTTGCCACTTACATGGTAGCTCTTTAGTCTCATGGTTTAGTAAGAAACAAGTCAGTGTTGCGTTATCCACAACCGAAGCGGAATACGTAGCCGCCGGTAGTTGTTGTGCTCAAATCCTTTGGATGAAGCAACAACTCGTGGACTATGGCCTTAGTATTAATCACGTCCTTCTTCGTTGTGATAATACTAGCGCCATAAGCTTGACGAAGAACCCCGTTCTTCATTCAAGAACGAAACACATTGACATTAGGCATCATTTCATTAGAGATAATGTTCTCAAAGGTGATGTTGAAATTGAGTTCGTTGAAACACACAACCAATTAGCCGACATTTTCACAAAACCTTTAGAGAAAGAGTCGTTCTTCCGCATTCGAAGTGAACTCGGAATCCTAGATTCCACGATGATCTAAATTGTGCATTTTTCCTTGTTAAACGTTTTACTAACTTGAGCGTCGGAGAAATTTTTTTATTTTTTGCAGGTACCCCGTTCATAAAATTAGGGGGAACCATGCAAACAGCGCTGTAAGAAGGACAACATCACTGTCCAGCAGGCCAACAGCGCTGTTGCTGGAAACACTGTCAACCAACTTGGACAGCAGCGCTGTACAATACATCACTAGAGATGTCACAGGGAGCCCTCTTACCTTCTGTTTTCCAGAATCTTTTCAAACAACGTTGTAGTGCTTTTCAACATCGCTGTTGCTTTATAACCCCATGTTTTCAATCAAAACCAGAAAGTTTTACAATAGCGTTGTCCATTTTTACAAATTTTTTCCCTATCGTAAAACAGCGATGTAGGGAGCCTCAACAGCGCTGTTTTAAAGGGTTCGAACCCTTACACAGTTCCAGAAAGTTTTGGACCATCGCTGTAGGGAACTCAACATCGCTGTCCATTTCACACCTGTTTTTAACACTTAACGCACAACAGCGCTGTACGAAGGCAAAGCATCACTGTCCCAACAGTAATGTAGCCTTTGGAACATCGCTGTTCAGGTTGATTTTTTCAAAAAAATATCCATTGGCAACTGCATTAAATGCTCCAACAGCCATATTTTTGAAAATCTGGACGTTGGGAACCCCACTCCCTATATATTTGAACTCCATCTCTTCACTTTTACACACACAAACACTATCTCCTTCCTCCCCCCTTGCATATTACATCTTCTCTACTTTTTTCTTGAAGAATCTTCATCATGGGCAAAGACAAGAGCAGGGTAGGAACTTCCGGGAAATCCAAGTCCAAATCCGCGCGCCTACAACGACTTTCGAGGAATGCCTCTACTACGGCGATGGGTCGTATCTCTGGTTCGATTCTAAGGAGGAGCGCACCTCCTTCCTCACCTTTTTCTCCAAGCGGGTTGTGGCTCCCCCGCGGATTGTCCTAGAGCGCCTACCAGAGTTGCAGGGCTACGCCGACCTCGACGCACAGCTTCACCAAACTGGCGTATGGCCGTTCGTCTCCCGAGCTCGGAAGGAGATCAACCCAGCGCTGATTCGGGTGTTCTACTCCAACCTCCGGCGTGAGGACGGCGAGCTCTACTCCCTTGTCAAGAGCACGCCGATCGAGCTCACCATTGAGCATCTTGGGCGCATCGCCGGCCTCCCCTACTAAGGCGGCGACATCTCCAACTATGGCGGAGAGGATTGGGTTCTCAACAACGCAGGCCTTGTCCTCAACGAGCTTGGCATCACCGAGCTCACCCGCCATGCCACGGGCCGCCCCACCATCCACTCCGCGACCCCCGAGAGCCGCCTCCTCTTCTACATCGTGTCCCGGATTCTCAAGCCCCGGAAGCACGGGCACACGATCATGTCCAGCGAGGACCTCAAGCTCCTCCATGCCATCATGCACTCGGCACCGATCAATTGGGCCAAGTTCATCATGATTTACATGACGGACGCCACGTCTACCGCCCACGATCATCTCCTCCCCTACCCCTTCTTGGTGATGGACATCCTTGAACGGTTCAAGGTGACCACCACCGTTGGCCCGCTCACCAAGTCCATGAAGATTTGGACGATCAGCGCCCAAACCTTCAAGAAGCGGTCGGACAACGCCGGACCCGCCACTGCCACGCCATGCCGCACTGCCCTTGGCCCAGGCGAACCCCAGGCCCGGGCAAACCTAGCCTCCATCGCCGACTCCCTCAACCGGCTACACTTCAAAGTTGACCGGATGGATGGCTACCTTGAACGGCTCGACGAGACTGTTCAACGCCAAGGGCACGCCATGAACGCGTACTTCCAACGCGTCAACTACGTCCCTCCACCGTACCACAGCACGTTCTTTGGGGAAGTGTACGGTGACAAGGACGAAGAGGATGGCTCCTACGCCCCGACAAGCTCCCCGGACGAGGATGAGTTCGATGACGCCATTGACGGTGATGACATGGACGACGACGACGACGAAGAAACCGACGGCGAAGAGGAGAAAGACGAAGACTAGGCCGCCCCTAGAATTTCTATCTCTTTTTTATTGTCATGTTTTTTTACTTGCTTCCGTTGTACTCCGCTATTTCCCATTTCAATAAATAAATATTATCTTCTATCTTTTTGTAAATGTCAAAAGGGGGAAGAAAAGGGCTATGCATACACTAAGGGGGGAACGTCTCTAAAAACGGGATTGTTTGATTTTAATATGACTACTTTCTTTCGAGCACAAATTAAGGGGGAACTCTTTCACATTTTTTAAAAACAAATATCCCTTAGTATGCATATCCCCGTCTTGTTTGTCATTATCAAAAAGGGGGAAATTGTTGGAACACGGATTTACCCTTTGTCATACTAAACCGTGTTCGTTTTATGACAGATTTTGATAATGCCAAACCACCGTGATAACAAGATTAAGTTGAGCAAACCAAAGGTGAAGGAACATGGCATGACGAATTGAAAACCAAGAGGCAAGAACCAAGAACGAAGACTTAGAATTTATTGAGTCGGTCTTATTGTGATCAAGATCGGCACAAACTTCCAAAACTTGGCTCTCTAGGCTTACTCCATTAAAATACTCTTTTGCATATTCAAAAATGTTTTTCATAAGTTTTAAACAAGCCTAAAACACTTGGTGCTCGCCCAAACCAAAAACCAAGCCATCCAGCGTTCGGTTTTTAGAAACCGGCGTTCGGCATTCGGTTACCGGCGTTGGTTTTTGGCACCCGAACCAAGTGGTTTTCAACATTTTATGATTGGTTTTTACTTCTAGGAATATTTAAATAGTTCTCCAAAAAAACGCTTCAAAAACCACCCTTCGTTTTTGGTTGTTTAGTAAAGACCATGCGAAACGGCGTAAACTTGGCCAGTCGTGGTTTTTATCTAAATGACGTGGTTTTCAAGATGTTTTACTTGTTTTCTTAGCAAAATGCATTAAACAAAGGTTTTCAACACTTGGTTTTTACTTTGGAGAACTTAGATTTTTTACATCGGCTAACGGCATGACTAAACCAACCATGAGTTTGCTAAACCAGCCCAACAGCGATGTTGGAGTGACCAACAGCGCTGTCTGGCATGGGCAGCTGAAAACCATGGTTTGGCGTTAAGTCTTCCAACAGTGATGTTGGATGTTAGACATTGCTGTTGAGCCAAGGTTGGGTTTCTAGAAACATCTAGAACAGCGATGTAGACTTCCCTACATTGCTGTCCAACCTAAGCCAAAAATAAATGCATTAACAGAAATTTTTTGGACAGCGCTGTTGACCCAGCAACAGCGATGTCAGGCAATTCATCAACCTTCAAAGTCAGGCCTGAACAGCGATGTTCAAGTAATGAACATCAATGTAGGCACCTGACCGTTGGAAGGAATTTATGTCTAAAAGTTTCCTGGTTTGGAAGTTAACAGCCAAAACAGCGATGTAGGGGTTTCGGACATCGCTGTTGGCTCGACCGGTTCTTCCCAATTTTAAAAAACTAAGCCTAGAACAGTGATGTCGAAGTCATGGACAACGCTGTTTGGAAGATTTTCAGCAGATCCAATTTTAATCAAATCCCACAAATCAAGCCAATCACCCCTTAAATGCTTTGATCCGTTGGAGCCTATTTTGGCACTATAAAATGGGGTGTTTGGGTCTGTTTTACACATCACATTACTTCACAACTCCTATTCTTTCATTGCATAACATTCATACATTATTCATAGCTTTTCGAGAGCCATTTTTGTGAAGTTCGTGTTGTGTTATTGAGAGTTCTTACTTTACTCATATTCACTCTTTTGAGAGAGCCTTGTTCTTGAGTGTTCTTAGTGTTTATAGACGTTAATGGAAGTTTGTTTCCCTTGGTTGTACGAAGGAAAGGTGTTTTTCCTTCGGGTTGAAGTCTTGGAGTGTGGTATCTCCGAGAAAGTGGTGTTGAGGCTCGTGGGACTCGAGTTCTCAAGTTGTAACGGTTTGTTAAGCACCCGTAAGCTTAACAGAAGTAGTGTAGCTCGAGAGAGTCTCTTGGGAGACAGGATTAGCCACACGTTTTGGTGAAGCAGTATAAATCTTAGTGTGCTCCCTTTACTTTTTCTACGCTCTTTACTTTTCACGTTCTTATTTTTTTTATTCCTGCGACTTCTACGATCAAACGTTATTCACCCTCCCTCTAGCATTGGTCACTTATTCTAAAACCTGAAACATTAGGAAAGAGCATCATGACTTTCAACCTGGTTGACTATGCTAGCCCCTTAACCGTCGCAGAATCACAAGCACGAGAACTTAGATCAGAATACAACGTAAACGTTAGTGACCAAGATATGCAATTAGCTCAGAACCTGAATAATGGACAACAAGCTGCTTTCAACTCTATCATGAAAAGTGTTATGTCTAACAAACCCACTATATTCTTCATTGATGGACCTGGTGGAACTGGGAAAACATATTTGTATAGAGCGTTATTGGCAACGATTAGAAGCAAAAAATGGATAGCCTTGGCCACCGCTACCTCAGGTATTGCTACGTCCATCCTTCTTGGCGGTCGCACTGCACACTCCAGATTTAAGTTTCCAATTGATGGAGCTGAAAAACATACCTATAACATTAGAAAACAAAGTGCAGAGGATGCATTGCTTAGAGAGGCAAAAGTGATTCTATGGGACGAAGTCACAATGGCTAACCGAGGTATTATTGAGGCATTAGACATAACACTTAAAGATCTGATGAATTCCAATGACTTGTTTGGTGGCAAAGTTATTGTCTTTGGTGGTGATTTACGACAAACATTACCTGTTGTTCGACACGGAAACAAACAAGAATCCATCAATGCCTGCTTTGTAAAATTCTCATACATATGGTCTAAAGTAGAACGGTTGACATTAGTAGAAAATATGCGAGCACATGGTGATCCCTCCTTTTGTGAGTACCTAATGAACATTGGAAATGGCACAATACCTACAATTTCAGGAACAAACATCCAAATACCTCAACAATTTCTTGTTCCTATCACCACAGACTCGAATCCCTTATCATCATTAATCACATCTGTTTACCCCAACCTCAATTTATTCCAACAGGATCCATATTTGTTGATGGGTAGAATAATACTGACTACTACAAACGATCATGTCAATGAAATAAATGACATCCTAATCGCCAAATTTCCTAGTGAACCGAAGACCTTAATGAGCTACGATGAAGCATTGGACCCGAAATATAGAGGTTGCCAAGACTTGCTACATACACTATCATTTGCAGGATTGCCTCCCCATGCTTTAGTCCTAAAGAAAAATTGCCCAGTAATCCTCCTAAGAAATCTGAATCCATGTGAGGGACTGTGCAATGGCACACGCCTAATCTGCACTACATTTACTGATCATATCATTAGTTGTTACATAGCATTTGGTGAGTACAAGGACAAACATGTTTTCATTCCAAGAATACCACTTCAGATTTCAAGAGATGAACATTGTTCCATTCCGTTCAAAAGAACCCAGTTCCCACTTAAGCTCTGCTTCGCAATGACAATCAACAAATCACAAGGTCAAACACTTGAATTTGCTGGAATATATCTGAAATGACCAGTTTTTTCACACGGCCAGTTATATGTTGCAATGTCTCGCGCTAAAAATTCTGCTTCCATAAAAATGCTTATCCACGACGAATTACAAACTTCCAAAACCACGAGTATAACCCCAAATATAGTTTACAAGAAAATCTTAGAATATCTAACACAGTAATACACAAGGTTTGTGAGCTTCACTAAACGCACCATTTCCAATTCGGAGTCAGAGGATCCATAGTACCTGCAGCCAGCGTGGGGAAGGAATCTCTTTTCTGCAACGAAAAAAATGGAGCAGATTCCACTCGGCACAACCTAACGATACATCCAATACCAATGATCTGTGCCTAGAATTAGAACGCGTTGCTCTAGGGTGGCAGAAAATATTCCTTGACTGTGCATCATCAATAATGATAATTAATGGTATGTAATTATTTCTCTGCAGTATCTAAGTAAAATTTTTCATTATCTACAAGTATTTACTTTTCTTAATTCAATTAAGACGAAATGAGTTTTACTAATATGTGAAAAGGCTCTTGTTCTTAACTCCGCTTCGGATATCAGTAATAGTGCTATGTGATAGTTAATCATTCGTAGAGGAAGCTTTTAAACCTATTTTGAAAGTATTTGTTACGTCCTGTAAACCTACCATTGTGTTCATCCAAAGTGAGTATAGTGTTAAAATCTCCCCCTAAAAACCATGACTTATTGAATAACATATGTAAGCTCCTTGATACCCAAAAGACTCCTTTATTCTACAGTGTGTTTAGTGTTTACCATAAACAGCACTAATCCTCAATCCTTTAATTACCCGAAACAATATGAGTGAAGTTATACAACTTTACGTTCATTTGAGCACTGTTTCTTGATTTAGTAGTCTGTTGGCATTCAGACAGCGGTGCAATAGTGAAATGCATATACCTGACAACAAAATTTCGTGTCCTATTTTTTCAGGAAACATGTTTTAATCTTTATCTGGTGTAAATGTTTTACTATCATTACTATACAACTTATGTATGAAAAATAAATATACCTTCTTGAATCTGGATGCCTAAGTCATGTTTTACTTTTATCACTAAATGCTTATAATGTGCTTTGATTCTAGATTTCTAAGCCACATGTGACTTTAGTAGTTAGAGTAACGGAAGAGAATGTAGTGTCAGGGAATTTCAACTTCTGAATGTAAATCTTGAGTGTGATTTTAGCACTCCTAGTTTATGTACTCACTTAAGGCAGACATTGTTTTACACAATATTAAATAAAGAAATTCTATCACTATTTTGAATGGTATATTTGCCTTGGGAAGTTGGCGTCCTGACAACCTTTAACTTTCAGCATTTCCTCATTCATTCGACTCAATTTAATCTTTTTGCACAACTTCCTAACCTTTGTAATATGGATGTCTGTTACAAAATTTAAGCACATTCATCCTCCATGCACATTACATATCAGAAACATAATTTTTGTATTCATTTAATCCAACATTATGATAGATCCCACCAATGGATGTCGAACAACCTCTCCTAGATGTTACTCCCAGTTCCAGATTGTGGAGTTGCAAAATTATTGTGATAGAGAAGCTGAATACAAGACAGGCACGTGGGGATCCTCAAAAAAATACAAATC